GGTATACTCTGAGTACACGAAATGCAAATGGTGGTACTTACGATAAGAAAGGAAGAACGCAAATTATATTTTCACTATAGAAGTTATGTAGGTGAATCCCGTCCTACAATACTGCGGAATCCCCAATTATGAATCCAATCGCCAGAGATATGGATTATGGCAATTAGAATTCCATGCGTTCTAACTCACGAAAGAAAGATGAAAATCGACACACACTAATAAAGGCAAGAAAATGCGCTGTCAAATGCGCCGAAAAATGGCGTTGTCAAATTCCAACAATAGATGGAGCCATCTATCAAAAGGCTACAAAAGTAGATAGGCTAGGAGAGTTCGAGCCCACTTTTGGTCGAAATCCTATGTTATTTCTTATGGGAAATTCTAAGGTTCATTTGGGTGTTTTTGGAGCAGTTTGGATGTGCGCATGCGCGCCCCGCCCCTTTGCGCAGGCGTCATTTGGACGCCATCTTGGAATCCTCAAGTTCTTGGAATCCTCAAGTTCTTGGACGCCATCTTGGAATCCTCAAGTTCTTGGACGCCATCTTGGAATCCTCAAACTTCGACCCCTTCGTACCCTGAAAATTTTTTTTAAATGGAACGGATTCGAACCGTCAACCATTGGATTACAAGTCCTATAGCATAACCACTGAGCTAATTACACTATTATGGTATAATGCTTGGATAGTTGTATTTATATCGAACCTCCTGAAAATTTTTTATTAAATGGAATGGATTCGAACCGTCAACCATTGGATTACAAGCCCTATAGCATAACCACTGAGCTAATTAGACTATTATGGTATAATGCTTGGATAGTTGTATTTATAACGAACCTATTTTAATGGTATTTGGTTTAATGGTACGGAGGCGCCATCTATTGGCGTCGTAATGCATATAGAGGTATATTTTCAACCGGCTCCCTCTATTAGATTGATGCGACATATAGGTATAGGGTAGGAAATTGTAATTTGGGTGTTTTTGGAGCAGTTTGGATGTGCGCATGCGCGCCCCGCCGCTTTGCGCAGGCGTCATTTGGACGCCATCTTGGAATCCTCAAGTTCTTGGACGCCATCTTGGAATCCTCAAGTTCTTGGACGCCATCTTGGAATCCTCAAACTTCGACCCCTTCGTACCCTGAAATTTTTTTTAAATGGAACGGATTCGAACCGTCAACCATTGGATTACAAGTCCTATAGCATAACCACTGAGCTAATTAGACTATTATGGTATAATGCTTGGATAGTTGTATTTATAACGAACCTATTTTAATGGTATTTGGTTTAATGGTACGGAGGCGCCATCTATTGGCGTCGTAATGCATATAGAGGTATATTTTCAACCGGCTCCCTCTATTAGATTGATGCGACATATAGGTATAGGGTAGGAAATTGTAATTTCAGGAGACAGGTGCGAGGTCCATCATTCTAACCTATAACCAGAACAGGGGTGGGTAGGTAAACAACAAAAACAAAATGTAGAGTGTTTTTATTTAGATCTGAAATATCGATTTGAAGTTTATTATTATAATTAAAGCGCTTACTTACATAAAATTTGTGGCGAAGAGAGCCTCGACGTCAGCAACGCCCATTTTAATGACCGCATTGTTATTCATAATTGGAAATCCCCCGCTCCGTTCTACACATAGGTATATATCGGGCGATCAAAAATGAGTGACTGTCGAGTCGCCTTTGAAAGTTGAAGTTAAGTACGATTTCCCATGTAAACAAAAATTCCAAAGGTGACTCGATGGTCACTCATTTTTGATCGCAATGTATAATTAAAACGTAATACATGGTGGTTTTATACCTCGCTGGGTTTATCCCGCCGAAAATAATAGTAGTTTCTTGTTCTACAAATATACGGTTAAAACGTATAGTAATATACATGCAGGTTTACCTCGACTCCTCGCAAAAATGATTGCACATTTCTCGATCTAAAATAATAACTATTAAGTTGCGAAAGCAATAACAGAACAGAGTTCGCAGATGTCATTATTCTAATAATTGGTATGGAAAGTTTCAATCTTGCGATAGTGTTTATTTATAGCAGCGCGTGCTCGCGAATTTGATATGGTACTTTATCCCATTTCATTTCCATATCGACACCTATACAGGGTGTTTTTTTGGGAGCTTTAGTTAAAAGTTTCTCGGAAAGTAAAATAGGTAGGATTTTGAAAATTTGTACTTAGGAGTTACTCTGAAGGCCGAATCGATGTAAAATATTTTCAAAATGGCCGCACTTCCGGAAACACCGGAAGTAGATAGTAACTTTGTTATTTTAAATGGCAACCCCTATTTTTTATTGCATTTTTGGATTCTACGTGAAATTTCAGTTCTTTTGATACCCATAGGTATGTCATATCTGCCATTTATGGTTTTTAAGTTATTTTGACTTTAAGAAAAAAAAATGGCGGATGCAGATGGTACCTTGATAATTGATTACTTGAAAAAGGTTATAGTCATGGCAACCCATTTAGAGAATGAATAGGGCTTTCTTTTACTGTACTTAAAACAAAGTTAAGTTGCGTACAACCGCACCTATGGAGATCCAAATTTAAGAAACTTCAAAGTCTATAAACTCAGTTTTTTTAAATGGAAAGACCATGTACTTAATATTGCATGAGATAGAGAATCGAAATTGGCATATTTTGATATTACATGTTCCTATAGCTATCTTTAACAGTTTCTGATTTATTCCTATTTCATTGAATTGATCTCGGAATTGATGCCATTTTTTCTTTTTAGTAGTTGGCCATGATTTTATAACAATCGAATTTTAAACAAATCAAGGAATGGATTCTTTAATACCACTGATTCTAGTTCTAGTCTAAATAATTCTTTAATAAATAACTCATTTAATAAGGATATAGGACAGAAAATTTTTGAAAAATCTAAACAGAGTCGTTCAACTGAATTTCTTAAACAACGTATAAGTCTGGAAATTAAGAGAGGTAATGCGATATCTGTTCTAGCAACAATTCCATACCAAAAATTTTTCAACAAAGTTTTTTATATTTTGCATTGAATTTATTTTGTTAATCTTGCATTTGCAATTCAATTCATTTTCTTAAATATTCTCTTGTAGAGCTTTGTATCACTTGTGCCTCAACGGTTTGTAGTGCATTAGGGGTACAAAATTTCCAAAATTCATACAATCCAGTTTTCGAATATGAATGTACGGAAAGCACGCGCCGCGATTCTGCCCATTTCACCATAAATAACAATTAAATTCCAAAATAGGTGAAACCACTGCGAGTCATTTTTCGATCTTTGAAAAACTTATGTTAACCTATAACAGTGGGTGATGGATTAGTGTCACTAGATTTGTTTAAAATTCAATTGTTATAGAATCATGGGCGACTACTAAAAAGAAAATCCTAAAAAAATAGTGTCAATTCAATAAAATGGGAATAAGTCAGAAACTGTTAAAGATAGCTATAGGAACATGTATTGTCAAAATATGCCAATTTCGATTCTCTATCTCATGGAATAGTAAGAACATGGTCATTCCATTAAAAAAAACTGAGTTTTTAGTCTTTGAAGTTTCATAAATTTGGATATCAATAGGGGCGGTCGTACGCAACTTAACTTTTTTTTAAGTGCACTAAAAGAAAGCCCTATTCATTCTCTATGCACTGATAAAAATAGGTTGCCATGACTACAACCGTTTGCAAGTAATCAATTATCAAGGTACCATCTGCATCCGCCATTTTTTTCTTAAAGTCAAAATAACTTAAAAACCAGAAATGGTAGATATCGACATATGGGTATCAAAAGAAGTGAAATTTCACGTAGAATCCAAAAAAGCAATAAAAAATAGGGGTTGCCATTTAAAATAACGAAGTTACTATCTACTTCCGGTGTTCCCGGAAGTGCGGCCATTTTGAAAATATTTTACATCGATTGGGCCTTCAGAGTAACTCCTAAGTACAAATTTTCAAAAACCTACCTATTTTACTTTCCCAGAAACTTTTAACTAAAGCTCCCAAAAAAACACCCTGTATACGGGTTTTATTGTGTATGAATGCGTAAAGTTCGAAAATCTCCCATAAAACGGCGTGCATCCGCAATCCGATTTCAAAAAGTGCATGTGGGTATACACCTACTTAGACAGGCGCCTTCTTATATACCTCAGGTAAGCCTTTTTTTCAATTTTTAGTTGCTTATAATTTACTTTTCTTAGGGATACGTGTCCTTGCGCGCATAATTTGCAGTTTAATGAAAGCGTGACATTTTATTGTATTTATTCAGCGATTATTTTATATGGGCGTTTATAAGTAATAAGCTGACAGCAGAAAACATAGTCTACATCAGAGTTGGACCGTAAGTATCAAAATTATTTTGTAATAAAAACCTACATTGTTACCTTTTTAGACGATATCAAACTCCAATGGGGGGATTGTCTTCAAGGATGATTATTAGAAGGCATAAGGGAAAATCGCTAAGAGAAAGGTGACAAGGCATATTTCCTGTCTGTGCTTATAGCATAATTACGTAATCGTTAAATAGTAAAATGGACATTTAGCTGCGTATATTCTAGAAGAGGAACAAGTTACCGAATTATCGATCTACCTTGTATAGCTTTGGTTAAATTATTATTGGTTAGATACACCTCTTTCCATGACCACCCAGGAGGCAATAAATTCACACTAGAAATAATGCAATTTATTGGAGATGTTTACGGCCTCGTTATTGGATTCCCCATTAGATATTTCTCTACACAGGGTGTATAAAAAATAACTAATAGGCCTACCTTTTTAATAGTACTGCTTGTGCACAAGTAGTAATCCGTTAGCAAAGGACAAGGTGTATAACAGAGTTGAACCTTAACACTTTATTAATGAAATCTTAAATTTATACAAGAATTTACTATTTTTAGCTTTATACAGGGGTAGTTTGCTAATAACCTTTAGTCTAAGAATATTCCTAAAATAATATCCTAATTTGTATACAAATTTCCTAGGATTTTGACAATTTGTAACTAATTCATCAAAAATCACAACCTTAATCAACTTCCATCTGTTCAACATCTTGAGGCTTACTGATAGCATAATGGCCCCACGGTAGAGTGTTAAATGAGTCAGGAATCAGGTATCTCTTATCATCCTCAAGACTTAGGGCAATTTTCGATTGCGTTATGGAATAAACTTGATGTTTATCCGTACGAATCAAATTTTGAGATGTAGTTTTGCGCTTATAGGTCTCTAGACATTCCACATAATCGTCAAAAGTAATTTTAGTCTCCACTACACTTTTCTTTATCCCCTTTGCCTTCTTAGTCAAACCATAATTTTTAATAACCGTAGCAATTTCATCCTCATCATACTCCTCCGCTTCCAATTTCTGTTGTAGTTTTATTAAATCGTCCTTAGTGGATAACACTTTAGTGGTGTACAGTTTCGATCGTAATCCTACATAATCAGTCATTATCTGTCCATTATTTTCATCTTTCATCATGCCCAACACTTTCTTATTTACAAGGGGTATGCCATATGGGTTATTGGGGTCATAATCGCTAGTATCGTAATATTTAAAACAGTCGCTTTTTATAGCCATATAAGGGTCTTGTTCACGAATTTCGTAAATTAAGCTGTCCGTATCTGTGTAAAGAACAGTGCAGTTATCTCCAAATCTATCCATCATGTAGTCATAATGGAAGCTGTATATAGTTGTCTTGGCTAGATCAAGAATAGCTTGGCCCACGTATATAGGCTTATTTAAATAAATTTCAAGCTTATTCAATTCTACAGCTACCAAGTTTTCGTTAAAAATGGCGCAAGATTTAAATTCCGGTTTCGCAATGTATGATTCTGCGCCGTAACGTCCTTTCCATTGCGTTAGTAATTTGATATTAACCCGTTTTCTGACATTTTCCATAGTCTTCCCAAAGACTGCGTTATTCATCAACTTAAACAAGTTCTTCTCAAATTCATTCTTGGCTTTTTTTCTTAGTTCTGTATTAAGGTCAATGTAGGACTTTAGCCAAGGGGACTGTTTAAATTTGAGTACCCTATGTACTTTGGAGAGAATTAGGCCATGGGCTAATGCTTGCTTCAAGGCTCGATAGTGGATGACGTATTTTTCTTTATTATTTAAGGTCGCCATGAGTTTTGAAATTTCCGCAGCTTCAGTTGGCGGTTTCATAGTCTTTGGGTTGATGTGTAATGCACAGAACGGTAAATCCGTGTGAGCGTCATGCAAATGCTGTGGATACTCCAAATCAACTTCTAGAATGTAGCCTTCATCTGCATCATCCGGAATCGTAGTGATATCGATGTTGGAGTCTACCCATTCAAAGCCTCCATATGGAAGATATTGACTCATACTCCAGCCATACTGGTTATTGATATCGTTGTACATTAGATAGACATCCGGTTTCGTTGAATCATATTTGGACATATATTTGTTGTTTGCATGAGCTCTTCTTTTAGAGCAGACTTGACTTAACCCTCCACGAATACCCCGCTCGACAAAGAGAAACATATCCTGGTCGGTAAGGAGTTCCAGCTCTTGTCGCGTGTATTTCAACATGGCATCCCAAGTAAAGCCTGGTAGTGTAAAATAGTGGGCCGGATCTAAATCATAGGTGCTAATACAGCTTGATCTAAACTGTTCAAAGACATCTGCAAGGAGTAGAATATCAGTCTTCATGTACAAGTCAACATATTGACCCAAGTTGCTGCAGTTAAATTTGGTCCACACCTCTTGAGCTCTACGGTACATTCTTCGAGGACAGGGCTTATCTTCTAGCTTATTGTAAAATGTCTCTTGAGGAGGCAGACTAGGCTCATCGAAACGGTCGAACGAGTCGAAATAATCATACGGCATAATACCCTTTTTAGTTAAAATATTAAATTGATCTTCAGGTAGTGTAGAGAATTGTGACTTTAGATTAGGAAAGTTCGTTAGAGCTGATGATAATTTATCTAACGATGATGCCATAAACCGGAAGCTGTCTATAAATCTAAAGCATATGCGTGACTCGTTGATGTGTTTGGTAAAAGAAATATATTTCTCCTTGGTTATAGGGAGCAAGTCGATCTTGCCGTCCATTCTAGTGGCAATATCTGTTACAACAAAGTGAGCATCATATCCACTCAAGTTGTGGAACACCACCGGAATTGTATGAGTGTCCTGGTAGTTGACGTTGCATCCCTCACATGCCGCTCCGCGGAAGTTGTTCTCCGGGATAAGGTGATTGTGATCTCGAACTTTCTTTTGACCAGATTTAAATGACTGTTCACAAATATGGCAGTGCGTTGCTGCTTGAAATTCAAGTTCCTGCTGTGGTGTCATATGCATCTTGTAGGGGCAAAGAAACACCGTAGAGACATCTTCCGCAAGCTTATTCATCTCGTCAGCAAACCATCGCATACAGTCTCCACCGCGGTAGCTGTTGTAGAACGAAAGAGATTCATCGTATGAGCACTTGAAGTAGTATCCCACAGCTGCTGGAATATGTTGTTGGTATGCAGTCTTTTTTGTGCTAGGTTTCAGAACGCTCTCGAGATCTGCATATACGACAAAGGGGGCTTTTATTTTATTTTTAAAATTTTTAAACTTCAACATCTTTTTTTCCTCTGTAGGCATCTTGATGGCTGTATCATTCTTTTGTATGCAATCCTTAATATGCTTATGTAATTTATCTTCAGAACGGTAAAAATGTAGACATCTATCGCAAATATACTTTTGCCTTTTTTCTTTGCTTAACTGCTTCGATACTAGCCGTGAAAGATTTTTTATCCAAACATAATGGAACTTGGTCGATTGTTCGTAGCAGTCTTGCACTAAAAGCAGGTTCACATGTTTATCCCTCTTTTCCTTCGTTAGGTAGGTAGGCAACGTATTAGACTGGTCTTTTTTCTCCTTCTTCAGAATATACACGTTAATGGAGATGTTGTTTTGTTTTTCAAAGTTCGGAATTTGTCGCATAGTCATCGGAAACTGGATCCCTTTTAGCTTGAGCACGGAAGAGTAGTGAGGGTATTTGGATATTCTTTGAGGATGTTTATCAACAGGATACAACGCTGAAACCACCGCCCACGCAAAGCACGCATTGTCATCGTTCTTAACGTTGATACAAGCTTCTTTTCTCTTAATCAGGACAGGTAACTCAATATATGAAGAGCCAAGTTGAGGTGTAAATTTGTTAATGTTCACTCCTAAATTAACAACGGCACTAAGTCCCCAACCACTATCACGTTCTTGAAATTCCGATAATTTCTTCATTATTGGTTTCTCAACCTTCTCCTTAAACCACTCATCTATGTTAGTATCCCTATATATTGCCGCATTTGATGTTGTAAAGTACTTATACTCATTAAGCATCTTTTCACCTTGAGTAATCACAAATTCCCCGCAAAAAATCGCATTTATTTTCACAGCCTCATCTTGCTTCAACGCGTTATGAATTCGGCTTTTGAAGATGGTCTTACAATCCATTAAGAAGTTGCCGGGGTCTTTATGTTTAAGATTAGTGATAACTCCAGTTCGTATTCTATTGCTAAAAGCCGAAATGGAGTCATCCCAATGCACGCGATCTTTTGCGGTTTCTTTTCTATTACTAAAAGCCGAAGTGGAGGTTCCTTTATTCAAAGATATACCCAAGCCTCTCCTTTGTTCTAATTTAAAGTGTTTACGCATCGATTTAATATTACGTAAACAAGCCTCAAGATGTTGCCTTTCACCTATGGATAATGACCTACGCATCGAATCTTGAATCCTACGTCTAGCCTTATCACACTTAATTATCCCTTGCCTCACGGTTTTGCCACTATACTTAGTTCTAAGCACACTTAAAATACTTGCAATCTGTTTTACTAAATCGGTAAACATCTTGCACGTCTAAAAGCTCAAAATACTAAATAATAAAAGCAATATTAAATAACAAAACTCGCCTATAGATATAATACGTCTAAGAAAATACACACTAACAGATAAAATACGACTAATAAAATTCGCACCAACAGATACAATACGACTGATCTCAACGAATGATCGAATTGGAATGGGAAAAATCTGAATAATGTATCGCATATATAGCGAACTCCTCCTAGATACCCCCTCTAACGTTACGATAAATTCGATAATAAATGTATCGCATATATAGCGAACTCCTCCTAGATACCCCCTCTAACGTTACGATAAATTCGATAATAAATGTATAGGGAGTTGCGAAAGTGATATAGGTTGGTATAAGCAAATTCTATTTATAGGTCATTAATCTATTTATAGGTATATTAGGAATAAAAACAATTTATGCAAAACGTGTTTATTAAGGGT